CAGCTGATGCAGATGCCTTGAGGTGGGAGGTGGGAGGAACAGTGTTGCTACAGTAATGGAATGAGGAGAGTAACCGGAGAAGAGATGGGGGAGAGGGGCAAATTATACAGTCATTGTAGGTCCTTGGACTTTGACTTTAATGCAGAATAAGAAGGTAAGCCTTTGGAAGGTTTTGACCAGAGGCATGACATGTTTAGATTTACATTTTAACTCTGTTACTCTGCCTGGTTGTCATAAGGAGAATAGATTGCTGTGGTGAGGGTGAGGTCAAAGGTGGAAGCAGGGAGGCTGTTGCAGTTAACCAAGCCAGAGATGATGGTGTTTTGAACCAAGATTGGGCCAGTGGGGATGGGAGAAGTAGTAGAATTTTGGACATGTCTTGAAGACAGACTTAATAGAATTTGCTGATAACACAGGATATGAGTTGGAAAGAGGTTTGTCAAGGATGAAGTCTAGGCTTTTGCCCTAAATAATTAGAAGAATGGAGTTGTCATTAGTTAAGATAGGGAAGACTGTAGGAGGAGTTAGAATATCAGGAACTCAACTTGGGACAAGTTAAATTTGAGGTTCATATTAGATTTAAAAATAAAGACTGATTAGTAGCATTTAGATGTATAGATCTGGAATTCAGGATAGAAGTCTAGGCTGGAGATACAAATTTGGGATTTAACAGCATATTGATACTATTGGAAGCCGTGAAACTCCACAATCACCAAAAGATTGGGTATAGTTGGAAAAGAGAAGAGGTCCAAGGACTGAGCTGTCGGGTTGTGGCAGTCTTTAGATGTTGGGGAAATGAGGAATAGTAATAGAGATTGAGAAGGAAGGACCAGAAAAGTAGGACGAAAACCAGGAAAGTATGGCATTCTGTCACCCAAGCGAAGTAAGTGTATCAGGGAGGAGGAAGTGATCAGCCGGGTCAGATACTGCTGGACCAGTCAAATAAGAAGACGACTTAGAAGTGATCATAGGATCTAGTGATGAGGTTGTTTCTGACCTTGGACAAGAGCTGTTTCAATGTGGTGGGGAAGTAAAGGCCTATTTGAAATGAGTTTGAGAAGAAACAGGAGGAGGGGAATTGGAGACAGCAGGTCTCTACGTAGATTTGCTGTAAAGGAAAGATCATTGAGATGGAAGCTGGAAGGAGTGGAGAAATAGGAGTTAGTTTTTTAAATAAGTATTGGAGAAATGACATTGTTGTATTTTTTTGGGAATAACCCACCAGAGAAGGAAAAATGGATGATTGAAGACAGAGGTTAAAATTGCTAGAGTGTTACCGTTTGGAGGTAAGAGAGGATGAGAACTAGTACAAAGGTGTGAATGTGAATAGCACCTGTCTTTAGATTTGGGCATTTATCACCCATTCATTGTCTACTGATTGTGAGGCCTCAGTTTGGTGAATATGCTGCTAGCCTATAAAGTGCTTTGTTCGAATTAGAAAAAGTCATCTGGGTGACTTCAGTTCTACTGCTCTCACCCTCACCCTCTCTCCTGGCTTGGCTAGCAAGTGACACCTTCATGAAAAAGGGAGCCTTTCCTCCAGACAGGGCAGCTGTCACAAGGGGTGAATTTTAGCCCTCAGTCCCCTTAGGCCAGGTGCTCTTGGTAGGTACGGTACAGGAATCCAATATCGGACTGCAGTCCAACTCAGCCTACATCAAGGCAGCAGGGAAAGTTCTGTTTAGTATCCTGTTAAACAATAGTTAAACTTAGGTTTTATAAGGACTGTGGCAAATAGCATAAGTGGGAAGAAAACAATTTAAGAAACAAGATTTTGGTGTGAGAATTCCAGCTCTTCCACCAACTGGCAGTGTGATTTATTTGCGGTGGATAATTTACTGTCAGTTTCTTCAGTTGTAAAAGGAGGAGTTTGGCCTCAACCAGACTGTTTCCAGTCTATAATTCTGTGATTCATTAAAATACAGTAATCCCCAGCTTATCCTGTTCACCATCTGAACCATAGCACAATTCTTCTAAGAACCAAAAATTATTTCTGAGGCAATTTGGTTCTTTGTAGAGCAGCTTTCCCTTGGGCATTTATACAAATAAGTATTTGCAGAATTTCCCTGGAGATTAGAAGTAGCAGCATTGAAATTATAAGAGGAAATGTAGCAAACCGTCGAGAAAATTACAGACTAGTTTACATTGTTCAAATTCAGTGTATGCATTTTATAGCTGTGGGACATTCAGAAAGTTATTTAACTCTCTGTGCCCTAGTTTCCTCATCTAAAAATAGGAATCTAATAATAGCACCCACCTCTTAGGTTTGTTGGGATAATTATAGTAAGGACTAAGTAAATCTCAGCTAACATTATTGTTATTACTAGTGTTTAAAATGTATTGAGAGTCTCTGGGTGGTGCAAACAGTTAACAGGCTCAACTGCTAACTGAAAGGTTGGAGGTTTGAGTCTTCTCAGAGGCACCTTGGAAGAAAGGCTGGGAATTTCCAAAAAATCAGCTATTGAAAACTCTATGGAGCGTAGTTCTACTCTGACACATACGCGGTCATCATGAGTTAGGATAGACTCGACGGCAACTGGTTTTAACATGGATAGTTTGGAACCATTTCAGTAGATTAGCTATGCTATAAAAGTCTCTTTGACTACCATTTAATTATAAAGAATCGCCAAGTTAAAAAAAAAATTTAGAAAAGGTATTGAATCAGGTTAAATTTTTTTAAAACAAATCAGTTACTCAATTTTGAATTTTTCTTTTTTTAGTTACAATGAAAATTCACTTATAGAATATACCTGATTGTCAAATGATGACAGAACAATGAGCCATTAGTATAATTAGTTCTAGTTGCTGGCTATAATTAACATTTATAAAATGGTATTTATTTTAAAATATATGTTTTTTTCTAAATAGGTCAAAACAATAAGATTTTATCTGGCATATATCTCTGCCTTAAAGATAGATTTTTGAAATATTCTCTGAACATTTTTATCATACCATCAAGTTTTTACATCTTTCCTGTATTAACCACTTTTTAGAGCACATATTTGACTACTGACAACATCAATTATCTGAAGTTTTACAGTTTTACATTTAGAGAGTTAATAAGATATAGTTAAATCATTTCAACTATTCATGAATATCTGGTTGTAATTAATATAGTTGATTTATCAGTGCTGGTTTATACTTATTTTAAATCAGACATGCAGATCATTTCTAAACTGATGGCTACTTTAAAAGAAGAAAAGTTTTATACAGACATGTTCAGAAGTTTAAGATAATTTATGATTTAAAGGTTAGAGAAAAATGGAAGGTATGTTTAAAGAATATTAGAGTTGCCTTACCAACAAATAATTGTTAATTTAGATTTTATTTGAACTGTCTCTCTTGCCTATATTTCATAAATGAAATGATGATGTGTTGAGTATAATGCATCAAAATTTAACTAGGACTTGGTAGCATCTAGCACTCAGATTTTGGTTTTTCTCACTAAATGGAACTAGAGCTCCTTAGAGAAATGGCTGATTCCAAGGCTTGGAGCCTGGAACATCTTGTTATGCCAGAAAGTAAGGAAGTGCTCAAGGAAAAAAAAATGATAGCAGCATGTCCTTAGGATATAGGAGCCATTTTGAAGGGACTCCCACTGGCCAAACTGGGATAATTTGAGCATCAAAATAAGAGTAGTAATTAATTATAAAGCGTTGGGGAAAAAAATAGAAATGCATGAGGCTATATCGATAATAATACATATGTAAACACATACATGCACGCATACATATGTAGATACGTATGTATAGGAGAAGAGAGGGCTTGAGTTCCAACTAGTTAATGTGGAGGAAGTACTGGAGTTGGAAAACCATGGTTTTGTCACCATTGTAGTAAAGATTAGAATCACAAGTGTATACTAAATCTAGCAGAGAAATTTTGATAAGAAATGGGATATTGCATGGTTCTAAAGTGTCTGCCCACAGGTTACTTATTGGTGTCAGGGGAAAAAATAGTAACTAAACAGTAGAGAAATCAGACACCATCTTCTCTGGGTGATCAAAAGTAACGTCATCAATAAGGGACATGTGGACACCATGTCCCTCAGGATGTGATACCCTAGGAAGACACAATATCATATATGCACTGTTTCGGCCAGGAATGCATTACCTGAATCCAGTCATGAGGAAACATCAGACAAGCCCAAAATGGTGGACATTCTTTTTTTTTAAAGACTATATTCTTCAGAAATGTCAATATTATAAAAGTCAGAGGCTAAAAGAACTGCTCCCTATTAAATGAGACTGAAGACACAGGACATGCATGATCCTAAGACTGTCATCTCTATATACAGGAAAATTAAATGTTACAAAGGGCATTATTGGATTTATTGACAAAATTATAATAGAGGTTGTAGGTTAAATTATTGTATAGATGTTAAACATTTGCCAAAGTTGAAAACTTTACTGTGGTTATATAAAAAATAAAAACAAACTTCTTGTTGTCGAGGCGATTCTGACTCAGCGACCCTATAGGACAGAGAGGAACTGCCCCACAGGGTTTCCAAGGAGCAGCTGGTGGATTTGAACTGCTGACCTTTCGGTTAACAGCCAAGCTCTTTACCACTGTGCCACCAGGGCTGGGAAATTCACACTGAAGTGTTTAGGAGGAAAGGACCATGATGGATTCAGCTTACTCTCAGAAAGCTCAGAAAAAAGTGTGTGTGTGTGTGAAAAAGGTGTGTGTGTGTGTGTGTGTGTGTGTGTGTGTGTGTAAAGAGAAAGTGATAAAGGGAGGCAGAATACTAACTGGAGTTGCTGGGTAAGGAGTATACAGGTGTTCTTTGTACAATTCTTGCAATTTTACTGTAAGTTTGGAGTATTTCCAAATGAGAAGTTAATATATACATGCATGCACACATTGGGGCTTATTTCTTTAATACTTTTCTTATCTCTTATTGCCCCAGGTTGCTAATTTACCTTTAATACTTTATTGATTTTAAGATGTTAACATGCATTGCTTACAGATATACACATTGATTTTTAATTTCTTTTAAATAGTGCTGGGCCTAAAGGAGATAACATTTATGAATGGAGATCAACTATACTTGGTCCACCAGGTTCTGTATATGAAGGTGGTGTGTTTTTTCTGGATATCACATTTTCATCAGATTATCCATTTAAGCCACCAAAGGTAAGAATCTAGAAGTGCATACTTTAATATTTATCCTTCTGCAAAATTAGTTTATTCCAAAGGTTAATTATGTATTGATGTAATCATGTTTATGTCATTACATTTTTCATGGATTGATATGGAAACTCTCAAGTAACCAAGAATTTGAAAACTGTGAAAGTAATTGACCTCTACCTTCTACAAATAACTTTGTAATCCACAGAAAGGTTTAATTGTTGATTGTAAATAAAGTTATATTACCTTGTATGTCAGTAAAGCAAATTAATTTTGGATTTTTGATCACAATGAGGAAACATATCCTATGAGTCTTCCTTAAGAAACATATTGGGATAAAAATAAACCTATTTTAACAGCTTCCTGAAGTAAGGGTTAAATAACTTGAATTTTGTGCTAAATAACTCATTTTTATAGATAAGCAGAGAACTAGAAAACTCATAACAAGGAAGACAGACACTAATAATAATTAGTAAACTCATTTTGTGCCCTTTGTTAGTACAGTGTAGTAATGGGAACTGAGAGTGACTGGGTGCCTTCTCCTTCATTGATGACTTACTCATTTGAAGTGTGAATTTGGTGAAGAACAAACAGAAGTGTTGAGTTGTGCTTTGTAATGACTAGTAATTATTTTGCAAAGCTTAAACTTAATAGTTACTGAATGACTTCCTCTCCTTACTTCTCATTCTAAAATGGTCATACCAACAGGTTAGAACTGCCACAATTAAGCCTGAACATAATTACTGCAGAGACTTCCAGTGTGCCAGGGATAAGCATGTAATGGAGTCTGTGAGCCCTTAAATATGACAAAATGTTTTTCTTTTCAATATAGTTCCTTATGTTCCCCATAAAACCAAACCCGTGGCCGTCAAGTCAGTTATGACTCATAGCGATCCTGTAGGACAGAGTAAAACTGCCCCATAGCGTTTTCTAGGCTGTAATCTTAGGGAAGCAGACTGCCACATCTTTCTCCCACAGCAGCTGAGTGCTTAACCACTGTGCCACCAGGGCTGCTTTTCATGTTCCCTAAGCCAACATTATGATAAACGGAGAAAATACTGAAGTTGTCGAGGATTTCATTTTACTTGGATCCACAATCAACACCCATGGAAGCAGCAGTCAAGAAATCAGATGATGTATTGCATTGGGCGGATCTGCTGCAAAAAACCTAAAGTGTTAAAAAGCAAAGATGTCACTTTGAGGACTAAGGTGCACCTGACCCAGGCCATAGTATTTTCATTCGCCTCATATGCATGCAAAAGCTGGACAATGAATACAGAAGATCAAAGAAAAATTGATGCCTTTGAATTACGGTGTTGGTGAAGAATATTGAGTATACCATGGGCTGCTGGAAGAACGAACAAATCTGTCTTGGAAGAAGTACAGCCAGGATGCTCAAAAGCAAGGATGACGACACTTCATCTCACATACTTTGGACGTGTTATCAGGAGGACCAGTTCCCGGAGAAGGACATCTTGCTTGGTAAAATTAGAAGGTCAGCAAAAAGAGGAAGACTCTCAATGAGATGGATTGACACAGTGTCTGCAAGGATGGGCTCAAGCATAGCAACGATCTGTGAGAATGTCGCAGGACCAGGCACTGTTTTGTAACTGTTGTACATAGGGTCGCTGTCATGGATTGAATTGTGTCCCCCAAAAATATCTCAACTTGGCTGTGTGACGATTCCCAGTATTGTATAATTGTGTACCATTTTGTAATCTGATGTGATTTCCTTATGTGTTGTAAATTCAGTCACTATGATCTAATAAGATGGATTAGCAGCAGTTATAGTGATGAGGTATACAAGATTGGATAGTGTCTTAAGCCAATCTCTTTTGAGATACAAAAGAGAGAACCGAGCAGAGACACATGGGAACCTCACACCACCAAGAAAGCAGTGCCAGGAGCAGAGCGCATCCTTTGGACCTGAGGTTCCTGCGCTGAGATGCTCCCAGACCAAGGAAAGACTGATGCATTACAGGGACCTTCCTCCAGAGCCGACGGAGAAAGCCTTCTCCTGGAGCTGATGCCCTGAATTCGGACTCATAGCCTGCTGCACTGTGAGAGAATAAACTTCTTTGTTAAAGCCATCCCCTTGTGGTATTTCTGTTACAGCAGCACTAGATGACTAAGACAGTCGCCATGAGTCAAAATCGACCTGAGGGCACCTAATAACAACATCATAGTATTTAAAATCTGTATAGCTACTTAATGCCTGTGTGTGTGTGTATAAAATTTAAAGGTTTTGCTATTTTCATGTTTTTTTTTTTTTTTTTAAGGCAGGATTTTTAATCCTGCTTAGAAATCATTTTTCCAGCAAACATCTAACAAAGTAACAGTTCCATCTAGTGATATTTACCTCAAATTGCAGCTACAAAGGTCTCCCACCTGGAGGTATTTTTTTTTCGTTAACTATAGCTTTGCAGTAATTTTTGAGTGATTTACTGTGTGTGTCCATCACAATCTAAGATATTTAAATGGTGATCTCATTTAATGCTCCCAAGGTCTGCAGAATCTTGTCTTGCTAAATTAATCAAAGGGGCAAAACCCTCATACTAATAACACGACTAATTATATTCACATTCAGAATAATACATGTTAGAGGACAATATATCCCTAAATGTTCGCTTTCTATTCAGCAGTCAAGTTTCTCACAGAAAAAAATTCAAACCTTAGCAAACTAGCTCCTGACTGTAGTTATAAATAGTGATATTTATTTCTGTATGCCTAGTTTTTTTAGATTGGAAATTGTTTTTACATGTTGAGGAGTTAGCAAATTTTCATTTTGTACGAAATTCTGTATGTGGGGGGAAAATTGAGAAAAAAGACCCTTACATTTTTCTTAGCACCTTTCAATGGAAGATGGAAGTTGACTAATATAAAGGTTTCAGAATATGGTTCTCTGTATCAGTTTATCATAATCATTTTGATTAATGGTTATCCATAAATTTAGCATGTTAAGTATTTTTGCTGAAATCTCAGTATTTTAATTTTCTACATCTTTAATACTAGTTCAGTCCTTTTTCTGCGATATCTTACATAGTATTATTAAGTATGATTGAGATCTACAGTTGGACATGTGAAAAATGAATTAAGATTTCTGTTATGATTTGAGGTACAATTATTTCTGTATAGTACTGATTCTTTTTGAAGTTCAGATAAAGTATTGAACTTGAAAAATAATAATTTAAAATTCTCTTCTGTTCATGGATACTATTCTGTTGTTGATTCTTAAATAGCTGAAAGGATTCAAAATTTTAAGTGTATTACATTTGTAAACTACTCTTTTATACCTGTTGAGTAGCAGCAGTCAATTATCTGGGCATATTTTATGCCCATATTCCAGAGCAGCACTAATAGAAATACAATACGAGCTACACATGTACGTTTAAATTTTCTAGTAGCTACCTTAAAATGTAAAAAGAAATAGGTAAAAGTAATTTTTAATAACTTATTTAACCCCCAGAAATCCAAAATATTATCATTTCTACATATAGTCAATATAAAAATATTATTAATGACATATTTTACGTTCTCATTTTGATACTAAGTTTTTGAAATCTGGTATGTCTTTTACAGTTTTAGCCCATTTCAGTTTTACTAGCCATACTTTAAGAGCTCATTATTCATGGGTGGCTATTGTTTGCCATATTGGACAGAGCAGTTCTAGAGGCCCATAGTCTCTTCTCCTTCCCCACTAGGCCAGAAGTCTCTAAATTTAAAAAAAATCATGTATCAAAAAAAAAAAAAAAAAAAAAAAAAACGCACTTTTGAGAGTGTAATATTTTCTTTCCAGACTCCCCTTTGGAGAACATATTACACTGCTAGTTCCAAGAGATCAAGAACTGTGTCTTTGTTTCTTTGCAAATGCAATTCACAAATTAATTACCCCATTAGTATTAGTGTTCGTGGTTGTTTTGAAACTCTTCAGTATTTGTTCCTGTGATTTCTGTTCTTTTCTCGTACATCTCATAGATACATTTGTTTCCTTTGTCCAGTAGCTAAAGACCTTGTTTGTTTTATTTTACTGTCTTAGCTTAACAAGACAGTGAACTAGCTGTGTGGAAATGAAAAGCTGAGAATAGAAAGCAGGTAGTGCTGATGAGTTCACCAGCCTTCTCTAAATCTTCTTTAGTATATTCTTACATGTGATAAGAAATAGCTGAATTGGTGCTAATATTTTCTACTAAGAAACTAATGTAATCTTTCATTTTGTGTTTTTTAAAAAACGTCTTTTTTTTTTTTTTACCTTTGGCCTCAAAACATTTCTGTTCTCCCTCATTTTCTGTCTTTAAAACTCAGGTGTGTGTGTCTGTGTGTACACATGTATACATATACATACATATGATTACTATAGCATTCATTTAGATTAATTAAATCAACCACTCACTTTGGTATGAAATCAGTATAGCTCCCTCTACTGGGTTGAAGCCCTGGTGGCACAGTGGTTAAGAGCTCGGTTGCTAACCAAGAGGTCGGCAGTTCAAATCCACCAGCCACTCCTTGGAAGCCCTGTGGGGCAGTTCTAATCTGTCCTTTAGGGTTGCTGTGAGTTGGAATCGACTCGACAGCAATGGGAAAATACTGGGTTAGAACAAAAAAATTCTTTAAATTGAATCAAATGAAACCATTTACTTTTGTTACTACTTAAACATAGTCTAAGATTAACTTTTCAGTTTAAATTATTTGCTATTTAGTGTTATCAGTGATGCATTACCCATTGTTTCTGTTGGTGAGAGTGTCAGTTGGTAATAAAGCATTCATTTTCTTTCTGCTTTTTAATTTGACTGTCCTTAGGTTACTTTCCGCACCAGAATCTATCACTGCAACATCAACAGTCAGGGAGTCATCTGTCTGGACATCCTTAAAGATAACTGGAGTCCTGCTTTGACTATTTCAAAGGTTTTGCTGTCTATTTGTTCCCTTTTGACAGACTGCAACCCTGGTAAGCAAATATTTATGAACACATAATGAGACTACCAAAACCAGTATATTTTCTGGGTTAGCTTAAGTGTAGAATGAGAAATAAATGCTGTTGGTTGAAAGATCAACATAATACGTTTTGCAGTGAAATTATCAATATCATTTCATTTAGAATAGGCCAAAAGTCTCTCAGTAACTTCATGTAGTTTGCTTATTGGCACACCACCCTACAATTATTTTCTCTCATCATTAATGTAGTCTATTTTCTAAATTATTTAACTGTACAAACCACTTCTGATAGGAGTAAAGCAATGTCTCTGACATTTGTGCCTCTTTTTCTAACTCCTTCCATGCTGCCATGCGCTTTAGAGCAACCAGTTAGTAATGAAGGGAGTTTTTGTTCTTCCTTTTTGGATTAACAATCAATTACAGTTATATTAGATATAGTAGTAGTGGATATAAAAATTATTGCTGATGAGAGAGTTGGACTAGATTACGATTATATAAATACACATTTTTTATAAATGCATAACTGCCACATACAAACTTTAATCGGTAGCTGGACTCGAAGTGATGTTTAGGCCTGGGATTTCATATATGCTGTCTTACCATGTGATTGTCTTTAAAGAAGTTGACTTTTTAAAAAACATTTGATGAGCCACCAAAGGCTATCACTATTACCTTAGGCCTAACACTTACACACATGCCATAGAGAGAGAGAGAGAGAGATACTCATTGCAGCATCATTTATTAAAGCAAAAGAGTAGAAACAACCTGAATGTCCATCAGTAGCGTATGTAGCTATTAAAACAAATACATATGCTTATATGATTCTTTTTTTATGAGGAAGAGGACATTATGATAAATGCTTCTAAATGCATTTAATATCTTTGGAAAGAAGTGTTGTAAATGAGTAACAATGGTTTGCCAGGGAGAGGAATTTCTGGGAAGAGAGCCTTACTTTTTACTGGCAATCACTTGGTATACTTCAGTGATTATGCCATATGTATTTATTTTAACTTGTTGAAAAATATAAATAAAATTCAAAACTAAAGTTTACATCTTAAGTTCAATTTCTAGTTCAGAATTCTATTTAAAACAAAATGGCAAGTAAGTTTTCAAATGGAGATGTGGTTACTGATTAGAGTCATATTACTGCACAGAATGAAGAAAATGTTTCATTCTGAATAACAATGTATTGTAAGATCTAAATTTTATTGAAAAATACATATTTAAAATTACATTTTTAAATGTGCATAAGTAGGCTGAAGTATAATCACTTAGCATGCTTTCATTGTTGAATAACATGCCAAAAGTAAAAAATAGTTTTTGTATATTAAAGTCATACATCTTTATAAAAAATTAGATCTATTAACTGAGCATTTATTTTTTAGCAAGGGGGACTTTTCTGATTTGCATATTAAAATATACTGATGATTTTATTATTTTAAGCGTACCTCTTTTGAGGATCTAACCATTACGTATCAAGATGCTGGTGAAAAATAAGCATTTCAGTTTAATAAAATATTAGAACTATACCTCTAAGATACCACATAATTTAATCTTCTTTCTACTTTTCCAGCGGATCCTCTGGTTGGAAGCATAGCCACTCAGTATTTGACCAACAGAGCAGAACATGACAGGATAGCCAGACAGTGGACCAAGAGATACGCAACATAATTCACATAATTTGTATGCAGTGTGAAGGAGCAGAAGGCATCTTCTCACTGTGCTGCAAATCTTTATAGCCTTTACAATACGGACTTCTGTGTATATGTTATACTGATTCTACTCTCTGCTTTTATCCTTTGGAGACTGGGAGACTCCCTAAAAAGGTAAATGCTATCAAGAGTAGAACTTTGTAGCTGTAGATTAGTTATGTTTAAAACGCCTACTTGCAAGTCTTGCTTCTTTGGGATATCAAAATGTATTTTGTGATGTACTAAGGATACTGGTCCTGAAGTCTACCAAATATTATAGTGCATTTTAGCCTAATTCATTATCTGTATGAAGTTATAAAAGTAGCCGTAGATGACTAGGAATTATGTCATTTGTATTAAACCCAGATCTATTTCTGAGTATGTGGTACATGCTGTTGTGAAAATGTTTTACCTTTTACCTTTGTCAGTTTGTAATGAGAGGATTTCCTTTTACCCTTTGTAGCTCAGAGAGCACCTGATGTATCATCTCAAACACAATAAACATGCTCCTGAAGGCTTAGTTTCCTGTCGTAATATTTTAAGTCAGTCTTGTTAGAAGGTGTGTCTGAGATGATTGTTGATGAAATAAAAATGGAAAGATCGACTACTAAGGACTAGTATAAATAAATGAATTACTAAATTGAAAGCGTTTAAAATCTTATTAAATGAGTAGAGTTTTTTCCTTTAAGTCTATCAAGACAAATATAATGAGCTTAAATATGCAAAACTGGATTTTAAACCATTGGTCTCAAAAACACATAAAGCTTTGCTTTATTAATATGATACTTCTGAATTATGAAGTGCTAAGAATTTGAGCTAAAAAAAATATGAAATCTTGCCTCATTCAGGATGGATCATTTTGTTCCCAAATTTGTGATTTCTGTCCACTGTTGGGCAGTATTGTCAAACAATAACTTCGATCTGGTAGCTATTCTGTTTACCTTTAATCTTGGTTTTGAGTGTTCATGGTGTGCATTACCATTCTTACTATGGCACATGGCCAGTGATACAGCCAGAGGCAGAGTTAACACAAACCCTTGTCTGCCCTGAAGGTAGAATAGAACTGTGGATTAGTGTGCAGATATGACTTTATTTCTCAGTTGAAGAAATATACCAACTTTTAAAGTTTTATTGTTTAAATTTCTTTCTCATTATAGTTATTAAATAGTAGGTTTCTTTTAGAGATAGAATTACTTTATAATCAGATTTGGTATACAGAGTAGAAGTGTGCTTTTTTTTCTAAGACTAGGATAATTATTGAGGTGATTCTTTGGTCATGTAGCCAAGATTGCAGAATATGAAGAAAATAACCTTTTGAATCCTAAATGTAAAAATGGAATACCATATTAAAATTTATAGAATGGAATTACTAACAAAAATACATTGCTTCGAGATAGTAAGTAAAACATGTATAGTTACATATACTGTCACTAAGAATAGTGGGCTCCTGCTTGAGTATTTGTCAATAGAAGTCTCAAATTAGGGTAAAAAAAAAAATTACGCTCTTGTATATCTATTTCTCACTTAAACGCCAAAAAATGTCACTCCCTGTCACAAAGGAACACTAAACACAAAGGTGCTATTTCAAAAAATTTCAAGCTTAAGCCTATGAAAATCTGAGCTTTGATTTTAAATGGTAACTAATAATCTGTCATGGAGTTGCAGTCAATGTGATGAAGGTGGAGACCTTTTATGTAAGCTATAAGGACTTCTAGGAGCTCTGGATGAGCTGTAGAGAGTAGTTTTCCCCCCACTTCCAAGGCTATACATTCTGTGTCTGAGGAATAAATTTCTCTCTCAGTACTAGAAAAGCCTTCTTCATTTTGGGTATTTGGATGTCTGAGGGTATTACGATTGTACTTCCCTCATTTTCTATCAACATAATTACTGCCACCAACCTGTATGGCTTACTTGTAGGCTGTCTGTGTCCCATAGTGGCTTAAGGCGGAGTGGAGGGAATTGATTACCTAAAAATATTTGCAGCTTTTCTTCAAGCTACCTTTGTGGCCTTGAACAAGATGCTTTAACTTCTTTGAGTTTCAGTTTATTCATATATGAAACTAAAGAGTTGAATTTGATTATTTCCTTGTTCTCTATTAGCATTCAAACTTGGTAATTCTAATCTTGTAAATTTTTGTTACGCCTGTTCTGCTTTCTATTTCAGGGAACAGGCTTCAGTTTCAAATGAGCTAGAGTAGGCTGGTGTTACAAATAAGTAGCTCCACCTATAAAATGAAAGCCACATTCTTCTAAGTTTGAAAGGAGAGAATCAGAACTCGCATATCGACAGAATAACAATCACCATTTGGTTACCTACTATTAAATTCCAAAGTTGAGATTTTTTTGTCTCATTCTCTATTTCTGAAAAATTACGGATCCTCTTGTCAGTTATCTAGGTAGCCGTATTTATGTACACTATTATTAGGGAGTTTTTCTCCATGAATCTTTGCTAGGGTTATAAATTGTGATATTTAAGAACTTAGACTTTTTCTCACTCATTAAGAGCAAATTTTACAAATTACAAGTTCAAAGGAAATGTGACAAGTGTTCAAGAATGGTCATGGCACCATGCATCCCATTGTACTTGGAGTGTTGTGATTATGATCCTGTGCCCTCAGAGGAGTCATGCAGTGCACTACTACATGTCAGCACCTTTTAGGCACTAATGTGCCTTACCTCATTAATATCCCCTAAAGGTTCCTAGGCGGCGCAGTTTGTGCTCCACTGCTAATCTAAAGGTTGGTGGTTCAAACCCACCATGGAAGAAAAGTCCTGGTGATCTGCTTCTGTTAATATCACAGCCAAGAAAACCCTATGGAGCAGTTCTTCTCTGTAACACATGGGGTCACCATGAGTCAGAATCAACTCAACGGCAACTAACAGCAAAGAGCTTTATGTGAATAGGCACTCCCATGATCCTCAGTTGACTTTTGAAACTGATGCATAGACAGGTTAAATAACTTGCCCCAGATTACACAGCCAGTGTGATGTGGGGAACAGCCCACATTCTTTACTACTAGGCTAAGAGTTTTTGTTTATAACATCACATGTAAATATTGAGCATATATATGTGCATGTGTGTGTATATATATACATATATATGATTTCCTTTTAATTTGGAAAATTATTTGCAAATGAGATAAATGACATTATTTTATTATTAAATTTCATCATTTGTATAGTTTAGTAATAACCTTTTAAAATAATTCTGTTTTTTATTTATTTATGAAAAAAGTCAACATAATGTCTAATATAATTTAACCATGCATTATATATAACTACATCAGGAAATTTGTGTTGATAAGTTTATCAAGCATTTAATGTCTACCTTTTTCAAAATAACAAGGTATTTTTGTTATCTTGGCATTACTTTTTTTTTTTTTTTAATCAAAATCTTAACTAATCACAGTGATAAAATCCTGTTGATATTTGCAGTTTGAATTGACCCATATATGTTACCCTTTCTAATAATAATTTTGAGTTGTTGTTTTCTGATGTGAACTTAAAGAACTTGGAGTCAACCCACTAACTTGTCCAAGTGTATTCTTACAAGAATGACTGTATTACAAAATATGAGTCAATTTTGGCCCTTTGGCTTCAGATATTAACCTACATTGTTGTCATGTTAGTGCTTAACATGAGCACATTTTTAGTCAGCATTGATATTATGGTCTTTGGAGAGATGTGTACATGATCTGAAACACCAATTATTTTTTAAAACCATTGCAAATTGTTTTAAGAGACAGATAATGATTCTACATTATTTGTACGATCCACTTATATTTCATTTAGTGTTCATTTTGTAGATAAATAGAACATATAAATTCATTCAATTCATTTCTAAACAAATTGTTTTTTCAAGCAATACTCAGAACGTAATTCATAATTACATTTTATCAAATATGCATTATTTGAAATGAAACTGTTTTCAACCAGCTTGTCAACTTTTTCTTGTAAAGTTATTAATTGATTTAAATGTGTAATGTGAATGTCCGTGTGTAATTGGATGTTTCTACATAGTGGACTGAAATTCCTTTCACAATGATTATAAAATGAATTGTTGGGACTGTTTATAAGCAACATTGCCAACAGTTTGGCCTCAGTTAAAACCGCAGTAGTCAGGGAGAATCAACCTTGTTAATTAGAAATGTTCCTCTTTCTCTCCCGGACTCTGTTAAAAACACTTCTCTGAAAAGAGTGTCCTGGAACTCCAGCAGTAGCTTTCTTATTTCAATTTTGATACCTTCTGAAACCCTGGTGGTGTAGTGGTTAAGAGCTACAGCTGCTAACCAAAAGTTCAGCAGTTCGAATCCACCAGGTGCTCTTTGGAAACTCTGTGGGGCAGTTCTACGCTGATCTATAGTCGTTATGAGTCAGAATCGACTTGATGGTAATGAGTTGGTTTTTTTTTTTTGGTGATCTGAAAACTTCTTGTGGTTCCAGTAACTCAAGTAGCTAGAAGCCCAAGGTGATTTTTAAATCACGGAATCTTATGTATTAGTTAAGTCCAGACATTGAGAAGCTGACTTTTAAAATTAAAAAAAAAAAAAAAAGCAATAAGTTACCTGGATTAAGGCACAAAGACAGTGTAAGTGGCCTTTACTAGTCTTTATCATTAAATTAATTATACATGAATGATTTAACTATGATTAGGCATCAGATTAGGCTTTGGGGCGTAGTTCTGAATACGTTCTAAAGTAAACAGAACTATGGCATAGCAAAAGGTAAATTGACAATTCTAGGTATTACCAATGAAGTATTTTTAAAGAAATTTAAATTCACTCTAAATATTCCATATCTATAGGTTACCCTTGTTGAAATCAGGAGAGGCTAAAAGGCAATCATGCAAGTCTGTCCAACACGTCATAAAAAACAATTTGTATTTTGAAATATTCTAATCCCTGAAGTTTATCTCAAGTCCACCACCTCTGGTGAAACCTTTCCCTTTTACTGTTCTCATGTACCTCTTAATCTGTCAGTCTGTCTGTTTGTCTGAGACACCATCTGCACAAACATCAGAAATATGTTGGCCAATAAAGAGAAGTCAAGCATATGTATATTTCTAAGCGTCAGCAACAAGCCAGGTGCCCTCCTCAGCAATGTTGGATCTAAAGCCAAGAATCTTTTTTTTCTTT